TGGATGTGAAAAAGGAAATTCCTACACCGCTGCATTTCCTCAATCAGAAGGAGGGGCACCGGATGAGTTCCTGTCACAAGCGGAAGACCCGAAAGCAGTCATTGAAGCAACAACTGGACGAAGAAAGAAAGCAGGATGAAGAAAAGCGTGACCAGGACGAAGATCAAAGTGACAGCAGTTTGGAAGCTAGATCGTACACAGGAGTGGTAGTCGGAGGTGACATAGTGGACGCGATTGGGGTGCTCGACGAAAAAATGATGGCAATCGACGAGACGACCCCGGATGAAGACAACATCGAAAAGCAGGTTCAGAAGTGGTTCGATGGCAGTAGAATTTTTTAATCTACAACAACATATCATAGAAGCGAAGAATACAGAAGAAAGGGAGAAATTATTGGCGCAGAAGTAAGTAAGCGGCAAGCAGTCGCCTCCCAGGAAAAATAGAACTCATTTATGACCATCTTTTTTATTATTATTATTAATGAAATTTAAAAAAAAAAATCGGTTCCGTAGAGCTAAAGCGGTTGAGCCTTCCAAATAAATTAGTTGATAAAAAAGTGCATGTCTATTCAAAATTAATGGTGCCTATTAAATTAACCATTTAATATGTATAATATTAATAGAGGGCACAATGGACTATTTCCTTAGGTCTGCCCAAGATGTGATTATAAAATGTATACAGGGTGACTAGTAGCTCATGGTTAATCTGAAACAGAGTGATAGAGGACCTTAAGGCATACAAAAATGGTTCTAAACTGTGCGTCAATTCCCGCTCATAACGGACATATCCAAGTTTTAATGTTTGTGACCACCCTACCTTTGAACCATCCTGACGGTAATTTCAAACCACTTAGCAATCTAGAACAAATTGTCAATTCTTGCTAGAAGTATACCGCAGAATTCCATTAGTTTGAATAGCTAAAATCAAAATTAAACGGCGCTCATTTGAAACGAGTTTAACTGGTACTCCAACAGAGCTGCCCAAAGGCATTACGCACCAGTGTAGGGGTACCAGTTAAATAAATTCTAAACGTTTAAATTTGAATTTAGCTCTTCAAACTAACGGGGTTCTACGGTACGCTATCCGCTGAGCAGCTCACAACTATCACTTAAATCGTTTGAACGTTTTAATAAGTCGATGGTGCTCTAAAAATCCATATGTTTTAAAAACGTTGAAGCATAACTTTGGCTTCAGATTGAAAAATATTAAACAAAACAATGCACACTGAGCCAGAAATGAAATCTAGCGGAGCAAAATTAATAACTCCGAAACGAAGCATTTCCGCGACTTGGTGTCTTGGGTAAAGTTTCTAGGCTGTGGAGTTTTGACTTCTTCAAAAGAGTTGTTTATTTTATGAAGATAAACAACTTTGTCTTCAAAACGCCATTTCAATGCATTCAGCTTTAAGCGACTTAGGCAAAGTTGTTTGAAGTTTTAAAAATACATGCTCCACTAAAATGATGAAATCTCAAAAACACCAAAATATACCTCTTTCAAATATTGATATTTTGTTTAAAGAGTATTGCTTAATTTTTGCTGAAAATGTCAGGTTGCGATTTTTTGCGCAAAAGTTCAAAATTGCTGTGTTTTTCGGTTTTCAACAATATATTTAAAATTTGAAGCTTAAACCAGTATGTTTCTTCACACAAGTTATTTATTTAATTTATTTGCATAAGAGAAAAAATATAACATTATATGATTGTCAGCAAAACAACGAAACAGAGAGATAAAACCATATTTTCGACATTTTTTACTTTAACTCCATATAACTCGGAACCAGTAGGCTGTGGAAATTTTACGTCTTCAAAAGAGTTGTTTATTTTGTCAAGGCAAACAACTCTGCCGAAGACATCAAGTCTCCAAAACGTCAGAGAAAGAAGTTAGATTGTGGCGCCATCTTTGCGGAAGAGTTTTGAACTATTTGTTTATGTCAATAGATGGTCCTTATTATGATGAGAATCTTTACCAAAGACACCAAGTCGCGGAAATGCTTCGTTTCGAAGCTATTTTATTTCTGCCCCAGTGTGCAAAGTATAGTCATTAGACTAATGCAAAATTTGAAATTTTCGCACAGTGTTCAAACGGTTTCAAATCCAGTCCTGATTAGCTTCCGGAAGTTTAAACTGATTTGATAAGAAACTAACTTGGCACAAACCAGTTAAAGTTTATATTGACATTACTATGGGAAAACCAAACTTTTTGATCATTGTCTTCTAGCCTTTTTTCATATTGTACTGTTAACAAGTTCTTTTGCTATTCTTATGGAAATTTTTATCAGCTACAACTTTGCAGAAAATCATTTTTCAGCCAAACGTCAAATTAAATAGTTATTCATTTTTTAAAAGATTAATAATCTTATGGCAAGATTAAGCAACTGCATTGTGGGCAACACTGTATTCTGCAGTGTGACATAGCAGCCATGGTTTTTGTCCTCTATTCTATGCGCCATAAACACCAATGTTGCCTGCTGAACAGTTGATTGAGCATAATCATAAGACATCAGTGACTTGAATCATTAATAATTTTTGTTCCTTACATTATATCGAAAAGTGGTCTTCAACAAAGTTGTAGCTGAGAAAATTTTCAACAAGCTCAGCTATCATTTTCTAAAGTAGAGTGAACTGGTGAATTATGAGATTGATATGAACCGAAATTTTGGTTTCCCCGTAGTAATTTCCATATAAACTTCAAATGGTTTGTGTAGTTTAAATTTTGGGATGATAATCAGGACACAGTTTGAAACTGTTTGAGTACTGTGGAGCGAAAATTTCAAATTTTGCTTCAGTCTATTAGTCATGTAGCCCAGGTATTAGGCGTCAAGTTGCATGAACACTAGAAGTTTTATCGATTCCCACGAAAATCAATTTGACGATGTCGAGGTAATGTTCGCATTCTTAACCCTTATGAAGAATTTGTTGCATTTTTTTGCACCATGTTATCCAAATGGGAGCTGGGTATCCCGTCGCGCACATAACGATTAAGGTTATTTTCATTTTCAGTCAATTTTGGTGTTTCAAGCGCCATTTGGATGTTTTCAACGTGATTTTGAAGTTTTCAGTCTGTTAAAGCTTTTTTTTTTCAAAGCATGTTTTACGATTTTATGCTATCTCGGCATTTTAAAATCATGTTGGGTGTTTAATGCTGTTTTGCATTTTAAATCAATTTTTATGATCTGTTTGTTTTCAAGCTATTGTATCGTTTTTTTTTAATTATTATTGTAGTCATTTCAAACAATATTTTAGAACAATCGTGATTTGTCCGAGATGAAATTAGAACTAGTGACCTTTGGCTTGAGAGGCATATACTACGCCGAACCCATCACCCAACCCATGCGTATCATTTTTGCATAAGCCCTTTTCAAGTGTTAGTCGTGTGCAAAACTAGGGAACCATATATGTAAAATGGCATGTTGGGCAATAACAAACAACTGTGCAAAGTTCCATCATAATCGTAGAAGGTCGATCCGAAACGATTTGCGAATCTGTGTGGAACTGCTCAACTTCTGTGCAAATTTTCAGCAAAATCGTTTTTTTTTTAATGATTTAGAGGTGCTTCAAGTTAATTTTATGTTTTTAAGGTAATGTACGGCTTATAATATTTGTATCTCGAGACTGAAACAACGAAAACTGCTGTAACAACTGTAATGAATTTTGGGATCTTTATCTTTTTTCGTCGTGGATATATTTCAGTAAATTTTAAACCGATTAAAAAAATATATTATGCCTAGAAAAGAAAAATACAGGTTCATTGTGATTCACGAAATAACGATTTGAAAAAAGGTAGTCAAATAAAAATTGTTTTACTAAAACTGTTTCATACAAACTCAGCCAATCAAGCTCAAAACTATACCGATAGATTTTGATTATTAGATCTATCAGCAGCCAATATTGCAGAAATTGCGATGCACTTACTGGAAAGTCACAGCTCTTTGAACTTATTTTGAGAGGTAATAAAATTACGGTGTATACTTTATGATTTCGAGTACTGGACTTCTAGAAGCTAAAATACACAATAAAATCGTATGAGCTCCTGTAAGTAGAATTGTTTAGCGTTGCTGGTGGTGTAGCGGTAAGCGTATTTACATCTCACCCCAAAAGGCCTGGGTTCAATCCCAGTCGGCGCCGCCCGGATGTTCTGAGGCATAACATCTCTGATTCTGATATAAAGTAAAGCCGTTGGTCCCCGGTTCATGAGTTGATGGGTCGATAGGTAGGGTCCAGGTGTGGGAGCTGCCTCCCTGGCGTCAGTAGCATTGGTGCTCAGCACGGAAAACAAAATCGACGGAAATCAAATCAAGGGAAAAAAAAATCATTATTTACCTCGCGATCGAAATGACCACAACTCGTGCGAACATTAAAAGCAGTGTGTCACTGTTACCTACGACAACACCGCGCACCGGATCGCTTGGAGCCTAATTCCGGTTTCAACCGTTTCGAGCCAAACTTGAGGGGAGGTACGTTTTCTTCCTGCATCGTTTGTGCTCTTGTCTCCGCGGCCATTGATGAATGGAATCACAAATGTAATAAGTAGTTACCAGTTTGGAATCGTATGTACTTTGACCAGTCAGAGTAGATAGAGGTGGTCAACTAGGCAGGCAGCTTCTCAATGTCCGAGTATGTGTGTGTTGGAACGTGATGGTAGAAAATTGAAAAACAACAAACCAAATTCAGGTGAAAGTGACCATTGGCAAGGCAACACGCTGACTGGCAGGAGAGTCAATGGTGTTTAGATGCGTGCTTTCATCATCGATTGTATTTACGTCTGTCGATGACGGCGGGAGGTATGTCGATCTATGCTCGTAGTACTTCTAGCGTCGTTGGTTGTTTCAACACATATTATGTAACCGTTCTCTTGATTCCATTCAAAGCCACTGATTTTTTTTTTACATTGGATCGACTGTTTCATTTAATAGATTTATATATTGTATATTCAATTCGCATTGTTTTCATTTTTTACCAAGGCATCGTTTACTAAACCAAGTATTTGATTTCTTTCTTTCAGATTTAAAAGCCCAACAATGATAGGTGAGTCCAATGCAGAATTCACTTTTTAAGGCACTACAATTATTTGTTTGACGAGAGAAGTAAAATTCCAGATGAATCATAGGAGATTCAAAATAATATGAAGAGTAACGTGGGGCAAGCGTACGCACTAAGTTTAAAAATTAATGTATCTCTTTTACCGTAACATCAAATTTTAGTTTATAACCTTTTACAAAATAACACCTTAGCTCGTCATCTTCCCGCACATATACTTTTGTATGCGCTCATATGATTTTTTATCAAGTGTTGAAAGTTGGTAGGTAGCAGTGGAAATCAGCATAAAATGGTACAAATCTGATGTAATTAATATATTCCGTAACATTATAGCACTAACGCACACATATTATAAATAGGTTCTATCAACCTTTTCCAAAATCATTTTGACTTGATGATCGAATGATTTGACCACCATTCCAAGCCGTTCGTACTCTTGCCCCACTCGAAGTCAACAATGAAAAGGGTCTTCCATAAATTACGTCTTTCCTATATCATCTGCTGATACATACCTTAAAAATCTTATAGACCAATCATAATTCTGGAATATGTAGGTTATAATCTTCCACATGATATCATAATGCCGCTTCCAAAAAATTGCAATTGTAAAATATTTCATGCCTCAATTGATAAAAATACAATATATAATGTCAATATTTTTAAGTCATCTTGTATTTAGTAAAGATTTAAATACTACTCATACATTATTAATCCATCATTTTGTTTAGCTGCCTTTCGGACCAGTGTGTACTTTTGCCCCACTTTACTCTATATAAATCTGGGACGGGCCACTACGTCGGCCATATATGCCTCTCACGCTAAAGATCACGAGTTCCAATCTCATCCCGGACAAGTCACTAATGACGTAAAATTTGTTAAGGTGGCTATGATAAGAACTGTACTGACATTTTGCAAGCCTAAAGGATTGAACATAATGGACATTAGACTGATGCAAAATTTGAAATTTTCGCTCCACAGTGCTCAAACGGTTTCAAATCAGGTCCTGATTAGCCTCCCAAAATTTAAACTCATTTGGTAAGAAACTGATTTGGCACAAGCTATTCGAAGTTTTTATGGAATTTTCTATGGAAAAACCAAACTTTTTGTTCATTGTCTTCTACCCATTTTCCATATTTCTTTTTTGAAAATTTATATAACTATTCTTACGGGAAATTTTCAAAGCTACAACTTTGTGCAATATCGTTTTTCAGTCAAATGTCAAATTAAATTGTTATTAAGAGGTTACGCCTACCTGCAAGACCGAAAAAAAGCGAAAGTTTGGATTTTTTTTCTTCTCGAAAACTACGCACCATATTGAAAATCGGTTTTCTGCCGTTTATTGAACACACATTAAATGGTACATTTATCAGTTGATGCTGTAAAAACGAGGTCCTGGTGCCCCACACGGCTGCTCCCCGTGGACGATGTTCTAAAAAACGCTTTTTGCGGTGCCAACTGCGGTTTGTGATGTAATCATCTGCAATAAAAAAAAAAAACCATGCCAAATCGTTAAGCATGTGTTAAACTAGTCCTTGATCGTTCGGTTTTTTTTTTTTGATTTTTTTGACAAAATGGCGGCTTTGCAAAGTTGAAGTGCCGATTTTTGATCCTTAAAATTTGTCTTTGATCGGCTGTAAAAAATCGAAATTAAATGATAGACGTAATCCGAACGATCGTGGACTGCACAAAATAGTACTGAACAGAAATAAAAACGAATCGGACGAATCAAATGTAAACATTTCGAGAAATTTTTGGCACCGGTTTTGAAAATATGATTCCGAGATAATCGCGTTTAAAGTTTCAAGCTGGGTTTAGTCCACTATAAGTGAATATTTTTGTACGTCGCATAACTTTCACAATTTTCATCGGATCAACTTGATCTTTTGAGGAAATATTCTTGACTTTATATACCTACTTTCGATTAGAAAAAATAAAAAAAAAATAGATTTTTTGAAAGTTTGCAGGTAGGCGTAACCCCTTAATTTCTTTAAGATATTGATAATCTTATGGCATGATCAAGCAGCTGTTCTGTGGGCAACACTGTATTCTGCAGTGTGACATAGTAGCCACGATATTTGTGCTCTATTCTTCGCACCAGAAACACCAATGTTGCCTGAATGAGCATAATCATAAGACATCAGTGACTTGAATCATTAATAACTTTTGTTCCTTACATTTGATTGAAAAGTGGTTTTCAACAAAGTTGTAGCTGAGAAAATTTCACTGCTATCATTTTAAAAAGCATAGTGATGTGGTGAATTTTAGATAGATATGAACAAAAACATAAGTTTTCCCATAGTAATTCCCATATAAACTTGAAATGGTTTGTGCCAAGTCAGTTTCTTCCTAAAGAAGTTCAAATTTTGAAAGGCGAAGCAGGACCCAAGTAAGAACCATTAAGCACTGTGGAGCGAAAATTTCCAATTTTGCATCAGTCCATTGGACATACTTGTAAGAAATATTAAGAAAATGGACCCAATGATGATTACAACCAAAAATGATGATTACGATTCGAATAAACACATCATAAGATATCTTGTCTTGTAAGCATACTTGTAAGCTGAAACAAATCGTATGCATTGGTGATGAGAGTGGAAAAGCAAATGGTCCCTTTGGGCTTGGTTATCAAATAATATATTGAGTTATAAGCAGGGATCTTCTGGAAGTTATTTTCCTACAAGTTTGTCTCAGACTTAAATGCGATTAGAAGAAATATTTTCGTACTATGATTTTCGCAGTTGCTACATTGTTACTAATCAGAACCAGTGAAATTGCACAGAGAACCACTTGCATGAATAGATGGACCTTGTACTAGACTTCCATCTCCAATGTACAAGCTACTGATTCATTCTATTTTTAGATCAATACCGACGCCGGCCACGTCCTCACGGCCTTTGGGGAGGGGAGGAACAATTGTCAAGTTGCTACTAGTAACCGAGAACACCTCTGCATCTTTTTCCGCGGAAGGATAGTTGTGTTTGGTCGGGTGGTATTTAGATCAGGATTCACTGTGGTAAGTGAAGCGAGTAGTTAAAACAGCAAAATTTTGCTATTTAAATCTAGTGGGAATATAATAAAGAAGGGGACGGGCCTGGGATTGAACTCCTAACCTTCTACAGTAATCATTAAGCTACCGAGCCTCGTGTTTCATGCTATGATTTATTGAACAAGTGTATATGTACACTGTTTTACCTTTTTTCCTCAGAATTATTGACTTACTTCTTCACTTCTTCCAAAAGACTCTTTCGACTTCCTCAGATCTGCTTCTGGATTTCTCTGGATGTGACTTCCAACATCCACGGGAAGTATTTACAAAGTTCCCCTGAAAATTACTTTCGACTTTTTTCGGAAGGTCATATTCATGGAACTTCCCTCAAGACGCCGCAAGATTCCTGATTTTTGTTTAAACATTCCTGATATGCTTGAGACTGTCCATAATTCCTTGGAACTATACATCTCAACACATCTCTAAAGTTCTCTAGCATTCCCTGAAGATCTCAGACCTTAGCTGAAGATTTCAAAAATTCCCTGAGTTTCTAGTTAAGTCAATAGAACTGCTCTGAGGTTCTCTGGTGATCTCTGAACCACCTTGAAGATCTCGAAGCTCATCTGAAGTGCCCAAAATTTTATAGAAGTTCTCAGATCTTATTTTATTATCCCACAGTTTCTTCAAACTAGGTATTTGTTTTCAATCCTCGGAGCTTCCTTAAAGTTAGGATAATAAATAAGTGGATTCAGGGTGGTTCACTCATTTATTTTCTCTATTTTTCTTGAAGTTCTCGATACTTTTCTGAAGATGTTTCTGGAATGTTCCTGCAATTAATGAAACTACATGAAGATCTTTTAACTTCCCGATGTTTTCTGCACTTCTTTGGATTTAGCTAAGCTTCTGTGAAGTTTCCCAAATTGTTATTTAGTTCTCTTGATTTCGCTAATGATGATCTTTAATTTTGTAAACTTCTTAAAATTTCTCGCTATTTTCCTGAGTGAAATTTTTTAACTTCTCAAAATTTACCAGAAGCTTTCAGATGTTCCCTGAAGTTCCCGCAATTTTCCTGATATTCATGTAAATGCTTTGAAATGCTCGGAGCATCCCCAAAGCTCACGTAACTTCCCTTAAGATCTTTAACCTCGATTGAAGTTTTGGCAACTTTTGTTAAGTTTCAGCAATTTTCCTGGGCCTTCCTTAGCTCAGTTGGTATAGGCGCAACTACGCAAAATTTCTCGACTTCCCTAGGCATAGAGCATGATTGTACTTGCCACACAACTATAGTAATGCTAAAATGTTACAGGCAACGAAAGCTCTCAATTAATAACTGTTGAAGTGCATCTAAAACGCACGGTATAAGCTTATATGTGATAAGCAACAATCTTGAAATGCGTTAAAAAAAATTGAAATGCCCAGATACAATGGGAAGCCAATATTAAGGATCGAAAACCTTCCTCGTAGTTCTGCAAATTCTAAAAGTTCTCAGCACCACCCTGGATTTTTCAAAACTTCTTTGAAATTCTTAGAACTTCTTGACTACTAAAAAACATAAAGTTTTCTAACTTTTCCTGAAATGCTCGGAACTAAAGATTTCGCATTGTTCTGATGTTCATGGCACTCCCAACTTGTTTTAAAGATTTCTGAACATCTGTAATATTCCTGCAATTTGTTCTGTTTAGAGATTCCTTTAAAGTGAAATTTTAGGGATTGCTGTAAAGTTTCCACAATTTTTCGGATTTTCAGGACAGAAGTTCTCAGAACTTTTCCGAAGCTTTGACCTGCATTAACGATCTTTAAAAATACCAGTAGTTTTCTGGAAGTTGTTGTAAAGATCCTGAAATTTCCTTAAAGTTATTGTAACTGTCATGAAGTTCACTGATCTTCATCAAATCACAAAATTTTAAAATCTCATAACTTACCCTTGGGGCCTCCCTTAGCTGAGTCGGTAAAGGTGCAGCTTCAAAGCAAGACCATGATGGAGGTAGCTGGGTTCAATTCC